TAGGTCCTGTAGGTCATAGTCATCGTCTTTGCGCTTAGTTATAGGAGTAGGACACTCATCAGAGGAAATTTGATCCAACATCATGACCTAACTCATTTAAATTTAAGAATTAGATTAGACTCTATGATAATGCACACACGGATCAAACTATAATGCAAAAAGCTTAATACAAAAAAAAATATACTTACAGATCCAGATGACATGGTAGAAGAAGTTGTGACCATATCAGAATTTGATTGAGAGTCATTCTCGATAGAAAAAACTTTATCTCCAGAACAAACCTCTAAAAACAACAAAAGTGTCTGATCCATTTGTGACATTGTCTGAGGTTATGGAAATCCCTAAACAGAAAGACTTTCCGATCAAACTACGAATAGGTTGTGGTAGCAGCTCTGGATCTTCAATCTGTTATAAATAAAATAATATATGAGGATCGAATCTAAACAATTATTGTGGGGGAAAGTTACTGCAAAACAAAAAATCATATCAAAATATACCTCCTCATAAGAGCCATCCCATAATTCTTCAGCATCCACTCCAACTATGGACTTACCAACAGAGTCTAGCAACATCACAGTACATGTTGCAGAGTCATCCTTCACAACCAAATGTAGGTTGAATCTAAAATTTGATATTTAAAATATAGGATATAGTAAGAATACTTGAAGCAAGTAAGATATGTGACCTCGCAGGAATTAGTTTAATTAAATATCATCACTTACTTGGGTGCCACGTTATTGATATTAGAACGACAAAGTTCACAGCGAAACAAAGGCTTATCTTTTTTGTCATGCTTCCATAATCAACTTTAGGAATCTTATTCACACGTTTTCGGTGCCGGTTACAACCAATGTAGAACCAAGACTAATCTGTATCAATTGCTTCAACAGTACATATGATTTTGCAAATCTCCACCTAAGGGCGTTCAGAAAATTAAAATCCATTTGTATTCAAACTTTGATAACCATAATGTTTCACATTTTTATTGTAGAAAATGTAACATGTACCTGTTTGGCCTCAGCGACCTCTGAAATTGTTTTGATCTTAGCAAGATCCCAATCATAAGCAATTCTCTTACCATCCTTCTTTCCAGATGGTTTTTGGACCAGAGAAACAGAGAGGTCATCATTTGTGAGCCTAAATTGCATTAAGATCAATCACATTTTTATATTTAAGTTATATAAGATAGGTAGGTAATAGTATATAAATCTTAACAAAATAAATACCTCTGAGTTAAATCAGTAACTTCTGGGATCATTGCATTCAGGAACACACGTGAAGCATCAAAAGCATTAGTGATTTGCATCTCTCCTAATAATCATTAAACATAGGCTCTGAATTAGAACATATCAATAACTTCTGGGATCATTGCATTCAGGAACACACGTGAAGCATCAAAAGCATTAGTGATTTGCATCTCTCCTAATAATCATTAAACATAGTCAAAACAAATACCTCTAAATTCCTTGATTTTTGCAAACCTGATCAAACAAATAATTGGTTGATCTTTGCCAGCCACAGAGAACGGTTCAAGTTGCTCGGCATATGGTCCCCATAGACAACATGCAAGATTGTTTCCTCTGAGGATAATGAAACATGTTATTTAGTAAACGAAGCAGGCATAATAAAATGTAGAAGATAACGAAACCAAAAAATGTTGTGAGAACAAACCCTTCATCAACTATGCGAAACTGAATCCTCTTTCTATCTTCGCCAGAAACTTGAACAGTCTGTACATCACCAAGATCATGAATTCTTCCAATCACATCTGTGAGATAGAAAAACGAAACATAGCTAAGGACTTATATCAATGAAAACATGTTTCTAAAAAATATCAAAATATAACGGAAATTGAGATTACCTATGAGAAAAGAAGGTTTTTGGTTCCATTTTCAATTTCATCGTAATTAGCAAGGGATAGAAACATTCTATCATCAACTAACTCTGATCTTGATATCACAGCGTCTTCTGCTATTACCATCTTGTATTTGTAGTTGGTAGTGCGATACTGACCACCAGCATTGGTGACAGAAACATGTTCAATGACTCCCCATGAATCTACAGGTAATAGGCGTTGAATTCGTTGCATGAGAGATCTTTTGCTAGTAGCATGTTTCTTGTTACCCTAAGAAAAAACACAGTGATATTAGATAGATTTATAACATTAGTAATACAGTGAAACGAAGAAACGTGTGTTAGAAAACTTACCCATTGATCTGCTAAGACCATCTCGAAAGTTTCACCTGCATAAGGCATATTTTGCTTCCATGAGTGTAAACATTTCACCTGAATTCTCCAGTTGTCTTTGAATGGCCTGAGTTTTGTGAGAGGAACAAATGTCGTCATATTAGACATGTTGAGGTTTTGTGTTTTCTTTGATACGTTTTGAAGAGTAGGTGTTGAGATATATATAGTTGTGATAAGAAAGGAGATCCAGTTAGGTCATTACGTATTGCATAGTAGATTTTGGTAGTTATAATTTAAACACAGAATCAATGGCAAAATCTTTAATTTGTATTATTTTAGAAAATCGAATATTCGATGTTTAGATATCCGAAAAACTTGGTTGGCAAGTTTTTTTAATGATAATTACGTGATCATATCTATCTCAAAGCTTTGCAAATCTAAACTATTAAATGGTAAAAAATATTCTGTTTTGATTTGTATACGATATCTTCTCAAACTGCACCTTTTCGCAAGTCTTCCTCGTCATTTGTATGTATAGGCAGTTAGAAGATCTGGGCCATCATCAATTTATAAGCCCAAAATACAATGGAAGGGTAACGAAATTTGTAAAAGAAATAGGCAGTGGCATAGATACGTAATATTTGTGCAACTCTTAGGGCTATTTTCTATTTGTACTTCTGCCTTAATAGTTTAGATAATAAAATTATTGTAAGGATTATATTTTTATAAGGTAGTCAGTAATATATATTTCAGAATTTAATTAATTATGTTGATACATAATAATAACCTATAAGATTTTAACAAACATGTATATGTATAAATAGCAACGATATTTTTATTTTATTTATCTTAAACAACATTTTATTTTATGTATTTTAAGATAGTTTAGTATAATGAAGAAATTATTTCTGTTATATCATATATATCATAAGTTTTAAGAATAATGTGTAAAAATAATTTAATTCATGAAACAAATATATAACTGAGAGCAATAATAACTTCACTATACTTAATTAAATTGATTGTAATTTATATTTAATCCAATCGATTGTATTTTTTAAAAAATCTATGTAACTTATAGTTATATTTAAACTAGAATAAATATTGAAGAAAAATAAATATATTTTTAAATATATAGTAAAATAAATAATTAAATTGTTAGAAATTTAAGTTAATATTACTGTTAATTAAAATAAATCAAACATTTTAAATAAATTTATATTAATAGTTCTTTATTCATCCCTCTTTAGGATGGGTCTACCCTAGTTTTTTTTTTTAACGCTGGATTGTATTATTAAGCCATTTAGGCAAATAGTTTTACACATTGAGAATTGGCAAAAACAATATAGAAAAGAGATACACCAGTAGGGATCCAAAGTAAACTAACACATCTATTAGTGTATAGATGACTAAAGATTTTCATGTGAAAACTCCATATTTGCTTCTGAAATAGTTGAATCTCAGAGGAGATAATCTTCGTATTAATCCAGAAACACCACGCTTCAGACTTAGTTGAGAACGATTGCTACTCTCTTTTTATTACTCAAGTAAGAGCCAACGAGAGAAGACGACTCTTTATATTTTTCTATTGATAATAATAGAGCCAAAGAGATTACTGTTCCATAGAATTTCATGTTGTCTTTCGAAGTAACCATAGAGTACAGCAAAAAATCCATCACCATCAAATGTAGAACCATCAACGATTGAAGCCGGTAAGACCCGTTGCCACCATCCGCAGTAGATCTGTCAATTACTTTTTCTAAACGTTTCAACTGAACCGAAATTTTTTCCATTCCAAATCCATTGGAAAAACCATACAAATGAACAATCCAAAATTTTGCCAGATTCAAAATAAATTGGCAATCAAACAAACTAGAAGACCATAAAGAAAACATATCAAAAAATAGAAATAAGAAGAATTAAACAAGCCAATGTCGGAGCTATAAAAGCTTACGACCATCGGCTTGAAACTAAAAAAATCTCTCTTTTTTTCTCTCTTGACGGCTCCGGTCTACCCTAGTTTTTATGAATAAAGAAAAGTGTAACGTGACACACATTAGTCATTGGTCGGCCACTTAACATATTTTTCTAACTCTTAAGACTTAAGACATCAAAGATTTCACTTTAACATAACAAAAAAGGAAATTGACTTGTTAACTCTTAAGACATCAAAGAGAAGCAAAGAATCAAATCCTATTTACGAAGAAAGAAAAGTCTAACGTGTGACACCTAAACATCTATCTCTCTCCATTCTTCTTCTTGTAGAGCACATGAAACACCACCACCGTCCTTCCGACGCGACGCCGTTTGGTACTGAAAGCCTCTCTAACTCTAATACAGTTTCTTCACCTCATCACCGTCCTTCAGAAACGACACCGTTTGGTACTCAAAGCCTCTCCACAACAGTGTCTTCTTTCTCCGAATCAAAAAAGAGAAAATGTAACTCAGAGAATCATATAGCCGGAAATAGCGCCTCCGCTCCCTACGGTCGTTGTTATTGCTCAAAGAAAAGGTATTTAATTACAAGATTCGATGACTCAACACTTCAAAGTTATGTCTTGTCGTAATAGATTCGACCTAAATGGTTTCTTGTACGCTACAAGAAAATAAAACAGAGGAGAGTGATTAAGGTTCCGGCGATAAGTGCTAAAATGCCTGACGTTCCTCCAGACGATTATTCATGGAGAAAATACGGACAGAAACCAATCAAAGGGTCTCCATATCCAAGGTACTTAATAAAGATTCCATTTGTGTAAGATCGAAACTTGTCGGACACGGTACTGAATCTTGGTTTCTTGATTTGCCGAAAACAGAGGATATTACAAGTGCAGTAGCGTAAGAGGTTGTCCAGCTCGTAAACACGTGGAGAGAACAGCAGATGATTCGTCCATGTTAATTGTTACTTACGAAGGAGATCATAATCATCCTCTCTCCGCCGCTGATCATAATCATCCTCTCTCCGCCGCTGATCTCGCCGGCGTTGCCGTAGTTGATCTCATTTTGGAGTGGTATTGAAGGAAAAAAGAGTCTTTCAGGCTTATGATTAAAATTAGATCTTTAGTGGAGTTACTTCTCTTCTTATTCTGTTTTAAGTGACTGAAACTATGAATCATGTAATCAAAAACCTTCCGGAAGATAAACATTCTAGCTAAAATAAAAAAGTTCGATTCATATTAGTTTTTTTCGTTTTTATTTTTCAGTTATCGTTTTTGTCATATGGCCATTTGAAGAGTTTTTTTTTTTTGAAAAAGGGAGAGCTTGGGGTCAACTTTAAAAGTTCGGTAAAGGAGATGGGACGTGGGGTCAGAATCTTTTCGGAATATATCTTCGAAAATTTATTAATTAAAATACTAATTACCATAAAATATAATTAAAGATTAAAATTAATTTAAATTTTAAATTAAATTTATAAACTAAAATTAAAACCATATATAAATTTAGTTATATTTAATGATAATAAAACTGATTAATGTTGTTAGTCATAAAAATAAGAACATTTATAATACTGAAAGTAAATCAAGAGGATTTCAAAAAATATCTCATATTTTAATTGTATTGATATATATATTCTAATAAGATATGAATAAGTCCAAAACTTAAATGAAAACATTGATAAATAGATAAAAAAATAGGACTGTAATTTAATAAATTAGATTATTTAAAATTTAAATTGCAAAATATAGAAAATTAATATCACTAAAATGTTTAAAAGGGAGCAAACTATATCCTAACAAAAATTTACTAATAATCATGATTAATACCTCCAAATTGTATATATTATATCTGATTTTATTTTAACAAATAAATATATATATATATATATAGAACTAATGTAATTATGAATTTTATTGGTATAATGTATAGATAATAAGCCATATATTTCTATTTCACAAATAAGTATTTATTGATCAACAAAAAAAACACTAAATTATTCTACATTCTAAATCCTAACCCCAGTTATAACCCTAAATACTAAATATTAAATTCTAATGAATAAACTCAAACCGGAATAAAAATATATTGTTAATTTTCATTATTTTGATAATTTTATTTTTAATGTCACTTTTTGAAAAAAAAATTGAATAAGTACTATCTTACAATATTTGTTCTGTATAATTCCATTATTATTTCAAATATGTAATAGATACTTATAAAAGCTGATATCAACTTATCTTTACATGCATAGAGTAGGTGATATATTTATTTGTTCTATTATATGATTCAAAAAGACGAATTTCCTTTTTATTTTTAACACAAGACTATTTTTATCCTAAAAATGGATCAAAACTCCAAACCAATTCAGTTGAACAAAATAAACATAAATTATAGTAGAAGGTAAGTTCCGACCATGGCGTGAAACTTTGTTGGGCATTGTAATTTTTGGCCTTAAGATATTTTGGATAGCATTTGATCAAAAAAAAAGAAGATATTTTGGATAGCAAAATTGTAGAAGTTCTTACATCATAGAAATTTCTCCATGTGTGTAGTGAAAGTCAACTATTTTATCGGTATAAATATCATCTTCACTAATTGAGAACAGTCTCCTACAAACACCTTTTCATTAATATGAAGAATACTCATGCATTGCATAGCCCAAAATCAAAGTTTTACATTCTATATGTAAAGTTGATAGACTTTTACGGATATTCATAGCATCCATTATACTATCAACTAGGTGTTTTGCCCGCACTTGCGGGCTTAATAATTTTACTAATATATAAAAATAAATATATAATCAATTTATGTAAATTATAGTTCATAGACTCAAAATATTTAATAATAAACTAAACAAATTCTTTCTATATATAAAATTTTTCATCATCATATAAAACATTTAGTAATAAACTAATAGCATTTTTAGACATAACAAAAAGTATAAAAATTATCTTTAATAATGTTTTGGATAACTAAATATAAATTATCTATACATAAATTCTTTGCGAATTGACTTTTCATATTTAACTATATATTAACAAATAGAATAAGTTTTCAACGTTAATAAAGACTTTATAACACAATATAAAAAAGTTAGGTAAAGATAATTATCAAATTCATGAGATTCATTTTTAATTTAGAATTAATTATATGTTAACAAATATAATTATTTTTCAAAATAAAGACTTTATCCCATAATATAAAAAAATTAAAATAAGGATAATTATCAAATAAATGAAATTCGTTTTTAATTTATAATTAATTATATATTAACTAATATAATTGTTTTTCAAGGTTAATAAAGACTTTATAACCCAATATAAAATAGTTTTAGATAAAGATAAATCTAAAATCATTGAAATTCTTTTTTATTTATTTTTAAACAATATTAACCGCTCTGACTTTCAACGTGAGACTTACAAAATAATCAGCAAGTTCACTTAAATTTTATAATTGAAAATATATTTTTAAGATAACAATCTAATACAAAAGAATTAACATATTTTCTAAAAAATAAATATTATTAATATAAATTCGTTTTTATTTTATAATAAATTATTAAAACATGAAAATAAGCAAAATAACCTAAAATCATGGAGAAGTTGACAACCAAGCAAATTTACTTCTCAAATAATGTTATGGATAGACCCTTCTTTACTGTAAAATCATCATTTTCTATAATAATATCATGTTCTTTTCATACTCCATCTATATAGCACAAACTGATATCTCTCAAAATACAGACTGGTTTGATGTCTAGAATATTCTTGCACATCTTGCGAATCCTTAGTTTGTGTCATTTTGTGCTTCATCCCATAAATTTTTTTTTTCAATCTCCGAGCCTCGTATAATTTATTGCAGATTTCTAATTTTATTATTATAGATCATGTCATTTTTGTTTTCCAAATATATCACAAGATTCATGGAAAATAACTTAAATCAGGTTGTTTTGGAAGTTTCTAAAACAGATAATCCATATTAATATAGACGAAAGTACTCGGAAAAATCTCGAATGTTATATTATTTTAGAAAGGATCCAGATTTAGTTTTTTTGTTGAACATTTAAAAATAAAATGATTAATCGATTCTTCCTCTACTCCACAAATGGTACATTGAGTATCACACTCAATACAACAAGAGCTTTAATTCTTTGTGACTGATAGAATATCTGATTGCCAACGATCTAACAAGCCACCAGAAACCAAGGAGCTCTCTTAGGGGTCCACCACACTGAGACCCATCTGAAACTGAGAAAGGGAGAACCACCTCTGGAAACTACCTATCGACTATTCTGTCTTCATGTCCATTAACCAAAAGAAGGAGGGGTGGGAGGCTGCCACACGGTCCAGCGTGGAACACGACATACCAGAAAAGCTTCCATCCAAATTGAGAAGCAACAAAAGTGTGAGAAAAAAAAGTGTGAGATGCACGTTTGCTCTAAAACTTTTGGCTGATTCAACGACAATAAATAGATAAATAAAATAAATAAGTAAACACGGATATTCGATCTATGTCTATCTATTTTGAGTTATTTTTGGGTTTACCTTTTATGATGAATCTCTAGGTTCACCAACCAATAGGATTGTGTTATTACATATTTAATATATTTTTAAAAAAGTAAATAAAATATTTTCAAATAATATTATGTTTTTAAAATAAAAATGTAAAAATAGTAATAGTTTCAAAAGAGAAAAAAATATTTTTAAACATTTTAAAGGCCATCAGCCAAACACTAAATCCTACCCTTGGATAAATCCTAAATCCTTGGGTAAACTGTAAATTCTTGGGTAAACCCTAAACTCTTGGGTTAACCATAAATCCTTGGGTAAATCATAAACTTTTGGATAACTCTTAAACATTAAATCAAAAACACTTAACACTAAATATTAAAACACTAAACTCTTAATTATAACCCCTAAACCCTTAGATAAAAATAAACTAAAATTAAAATATTTTTAACGCCGTCAGCAAAACACTGAACTCTAAATACTAAATTCTAAACCTTAAGATAAACCATAAACCCTAGGGTTTACAATTATCCATGGGTTTAGAGATTAGGATTAAGAGTTTAGTGTTTTTAAGATTTAGTGTTTAAGTTTTTGATTTAAGGTTTAGGATTTATATGAGGGCTTAGGGTTTACCCAAGAGTTTATGGTTTAGTATTTTGTTGATGGCCATAAATATGTTTTAGGAATTTTTTTTTTTTTTTTGCAGTTATGACTATTTTTATCTACTTATACCTTTATTTTAATAATATAATATAACTTGACAATATACTATTTCGTTTTTTAAAAGATATTAAATATATAATATTATAATTATATTGGTTGGTAAACCCAAGAATAAGTCTAACTTTTTATTGCTGTCAAAGATTTTGTTTGGAAGACTATGGAGTCGTTGCCAAGATTTGCTAGTCAGTCACTGGAATCTGTAAGCTGTACAATTTTTTGAAAATAGCCATTAACGGCAGAACTAACTTCACGGAAGATGGTTCTCCTAATTTTGTGCTTTCTGTCCGGCACGAGTTCTCTCTTGGTAGGAGCGAATGAAGAGTATCATGCAGTTGCTCGGATTTGTGAGATGGCAGAGCCTATGGCAAATAGTAGTGGTTAGAGTCTTTTGGGAGTCAGATATTCATATGGAAACTGGCTTAAGGTACAGGACTCTCCGAGGTGACTTGTTTTGATGGTACACTGTTGATGAAACTATCAGCTGATCTTGGACACACCGGCTAAGTGAAATCGTAGATAACAAATGTGTTCGTCACCGATTTTCATCGGAGATAGGAAGCTTTGGCTTCCCTAGTCTTCTTTCCATGCCCAGGTCTCCTTTCTTGTTTCAAATTTGTTCTTACTGGATTGTTCTTTGTTTTTTCCTAGTAGCTAAATCACCACCGTCTCTCTGGCTAAGCCGGATTGTAACTATTCCAAATTCCTTTTTGGATTTGGTTTATTAATGAATCTCAATTAGAAAAGAAGATGTACATATATAGATCCTGTAATAGACGCACAAGTACAAAAAACACAGTAGTTTATTGCAACTTGCAAGGTTAAAAAAAGTAAGAGGAAGCAATCTTTTGACTGAAACCATTTTAGACATGTATGCTCATGAATCATGATTGTTCTAAGCTAGAGATCATATCATGTTAAATATTAGTTTCTTCCTCGAATTGTATTTGAACGCAAGACCTTTCTGATTTTTCTTCATTAGATAG